CCCGGGGGGGGTTCCCCGGGGGAAAAAAAAAAAAGACTTTTTTTCCCGGAAACCCATTTTCCCACCCTTAATTCGGTTCCCACCCCCGCCCCGGGGTTTTTTTCCCCCGGCCCAAAAAATTGTTCCCGAGTTCTTAGGGGAATTAAGAGGGGGCCCCCCCCGCTCCCGGGGAAAAAAAACAAAAGGGGGGGGCCCCGGGAATACCTTTTTTTTTTTTCACCCCCCCCCCAGAATTTTTAGGCCCAAAAAGGGCCCGGCCCCCCTCCAAACCGAGAGCCGGGATTTCAATTTTTGGGGGCCCCCCCCCCCCCCCCCCGCCTTCTCCCGAACCGGGATGTGTGTGGCCCTGCGTGCGTGCGGTGGCGAGCCGCGACCCTCGGGCGTGCTGCAGGTGCCCCCTCCCGAGCAACGCGCCGTACTGCACGGAGACCTCGAGTGGGGAGACGATAGGGTGCAGCGTCATGTCGCCTCCACCGCCGCCGCCTCCAGCGCCATCGTTGGCCTCTGACACGGCTGTCGTCGTCCTCCTCATCTGTGCGATCGCCATCCCGGCCGCGGCCTGGCTGTTGTACACCCTGTGCAAGCGCGTCACCATCACCTCGACGGTGCGACTTGGGCCGCACCACCCTCCCCCGGCCGCTACTCCCCCCCCCCCCCACACACACACACACCTTTTCACACACACTGGCCCCCACATCGTGCGCGCCGCCGCCTCGGCCCCTTTCCCTCCCCTCAGGTGGTGGTTCCAAAGATGACCGAGCTCGACTCCGCGGCGGTGGGGCCTTAGCCCGCAGACCTCGGGTAGGGTGCTCGCACTGAGTGCGACTGCTTGTGAGCAGGTGGAGCACGTCCCGGAAGGGGAGGCAAGGCCGACGCACTACAACTGAGAGGGCCGTGCTAGTTCGGCGGGGAGGGCGGTGCCCACTTACCATCGTGCACATGCAGCTGCACAGGCACTAGGCTGCAAACCACCGACACGCGGCCGTGCTAAAGTATTTTTCGCGCACATCTCGGGCGTCCGGTGTCCTGGGCGATAAGTGTGATCACACCGGCCGTCCAGAGTCCACACACCACAGTCGTGTGCGTGACCCACTTGCACACATATACACACCTAGAACACTGGTCACTGCCCTGCCCGGTACGGGAAGGGCTTTACGGCTTCTCTCTCCATATGCACAATATATGCCCCATCGGCGGTCCCAGCACTCACAGCGGACGGAGGCTCGGTCAACAGCTGTTGGATGGGTTTGTTTTTCTTTGTTTGACTAACATCGGCCTGGCGAGTCGGACGCCCGGGGAGCTAAGTTCACGTGGTCGGCCTGCTAATGTCGCTGCCCTACACCTTGCTCGTCCTGGCTCTCGACAACGGTGTCGGCCGCACTCCTGCGATGGGGTGGAACAGCTGGAATACGTTTCGTTGTGAGGGCCTGGACGAAGCGCTCATCCATGAGGTCGCCGATGCGATGGTTTCCACAGGGCTTCGCGATGCGGGCTACCAGTACGTCAACATAGACGACTGCTGGATGGACAAGAAGCGGAGTGGAGACGGCCACATCGTTGTCGACCCTCGCCGTTTTCCAAGCGGCATGGCGGCGCTCGGCAAGTACATCCACGAGCGGCGGCTCAAGTTTGGAATCTACTCGTGCGCAGGAGAGACGACGTGTGAGGGGCTGCCGGGCTCATACGGCCACGAACGCGAGGACGCGGCCGATTACGCGTCGTGGGGTGGCTGGCTTCCTGCCCGACCCCGCGACACGTGCACGACACGTCCATGCGATGCATATGCACCCGAAATACGTCCGTGACACGTCCGTGACACGTCCACGACGCGTCCATGACAGGAGTTGACTACCTCAAGCTCGATTTTTGCGGCATGGAGAAGGTGCCGACGGCGGAGAGGCAGCCGGAGCGGCGGTACAGCGTCATGCGCGACTCGCTCAACGCGACGGGGAGGCCGATGCTGTTTTCGCTCTGCAACTGGGGCGGCGGGCGCCCGAACCGCTGGGGGCACAACGTGGGCCACAGCTGGAGGACGGGGCGGGACGTGTTTGCAGTGTGGGATGAGGCGGCGGCGCGGAAGCTGCACAAGTTGCCGGGGTACCTCCAGTCCATCATGACGGCGGTCGAGGATGCCGACGCGGCGCAGCGAGCCGTGGACGGCCCCGGCGGCTTCAACGATCTCGACATGCTCGTGGTCGGCCTCGACGGCATGACTCCCTACGGCATCGTCGACCAGTGCCCGCCCCACCTTCCAAACGGCACGTGCGCGCCTGGGCAGTACATCTCGCGGCAGCAGTGGGGGATGGTCGGCGGGCTCACCCGCACCGAGCAGCGGACCCACTTCGCGCTCTGGTGCATGCTCTCCAGCCCCCTCATGCTCGGGAACGACCCGCGCCGCATGAGCGCTGCCACGCGCCGCATCCTCACCTCCAAAGGCATGCTCGCCATCAGCCAAGACCCGCTCGGCGTCGCGGCGCGGCGCGTGTGGCGCAACGGGCCGCTCGCGATCTGGAGCAAGCCGCTCGCCGACGGCGCGCACGCGCTGCTGCTTTTCAACGGGGGCGAGACGCCGGCCGACATCACCGTCCGCTGGAGGAGAGACTTGACCGACGCGTCCCGCGGGCACGAGTCGCACGTAGCGCGAGAGCCGGCCTGCAGCAACGCGGAGAAGGACGCGACGTGCGCGAGCTGGGCGCGCGGCGGCGAGTGCGACAAGAACGCGGGCTTCATGAAGGCCAACTGCCAAGCCGCTTGCGGCGCGTGCCCGCCGGCGCTGTGGGAGGAGGGGTCGGAGGCGACGGCGGCGGTGGTCGACGCGTGGGAGATGGAGGCGGAGGGGCGGTTCACCGCGCTCTACACGGCGAGGCACGTCGAGCCGCACGAGGCGCGGGCCCTCCTCGTCCGGTTTGGAGCTGCGGCGGAAGGGCAAGCGGGGGGTGGCGAGCCGTCGGCGCCGCCGCATCCCGCGGGCCGCGCCCAGAGGCGGGCGGCGGCGTTGCCAGGCAAAGCTGTGGGCGCCGCCGCGGTGGCCGAGCCGGCGGCGGCCGAGAAGGCGGTGCGGGGGTCTCGGGGGCGATTCGGGCCCGTCGATTGCACGACGGACGAAGACAGCTTTCTGCGGGCGCACGCGCTGATACTCGCCACCCCTGTTGCGGCCGTGTTCGGCTTCCTGCTTGGCAGCCGGGCGCGTGGCGCCGACCGGCGTCGTGGTCCCAGGGGCGGCGCGTTGCACCCCTGAATCTCGGGGTCCAAAACCATTGAAATAAATAAATAAACAACCTCTCCTAGGAGATTGTGTTAAAAAGGTGAACAGGATACCCAGGTGTCTCCGCGCCGCCCGTGCGGCGATCTTA